ATATATATATATATCCTATATATATGGCAAGAGATGTAGCTCAGTGATTGAGTGCCCCTCGATTCAACTCCCAGTATGGGGGGAAAAAACTCTATATTGCATAAATGAGATAAATTCTTTTTGCCTGAGTCAACATTCAATAAAGTTGTATTTTCCAATATCCACTAAATGATTATTGCCACTCACCTGCTCAGCTTTATTGCTTCTTATATATCCTATATATATGGCAAGAGATGTAGCTCAGTGATTGAGTGCCCCTCGATTCAACTCCCAGTATGGGGGGAAAAAACTCTATATTGCATAAATGAGATAAATTCTTTTTGCCTGAGTCAACATTCAATAAAGTTGTATTTTCCAATATCCACTAAATGATTATTGCCACTCACCTGCTCAGCTTTATTGCTTCTTCTCACTCCCCATTTCCACCCCTGCGACCTGGAAGAGTCTCACCATCTAGCTACTTGGGAAACTTCTTAAATTAGTACCTAAGAGAAAGGATCCAAAGTCATACTTGTTCTCTTGCTTTTTGTGGTTCTTTTTCTTAGCATGACTAAAATTTCCACACACTTCCCTTCGACCTTGCCCTGTTGTATACTTGTTCAGCTCAGCTACCAAACATTTCCCATGAGTAACAATGAAACAAAGGGGATACATACAAAACTGAAATTTAATTTATTTTCATAATAAAAATATATAAGAAAAAGTAGGAAGAAAGCATAGAAAGACACAGAAGGAATGGTAATTATTTGTATGACCATACATTACACATTGAGAATTAATTAGTAAAGGTAATTTGTTATAGAATAATGAAAATTGGATGCAGCTATAGAGTAACAATATTATTGCATTTTATGCTAATATATCAATGTTCTAGTTAAGAGACAATGGATCTTTAAAGGATGATAGTGTGCTTGGTGGTGAAAGGTAACTTGATAAATAGAGGATAGTGGCACAAAATTGTGAGAAATATGATTCTTAAACCACTTAAATTTCAGTGGCTCTTATATCATACACACAAAAAGGTGTTGAGACTATGAGTTAGAACTGAGGGTTTTGTGAAATATACTTGTTCTCAGTTGGAAGAGTCCAATATAATATGTTTGCCCACGTCTGTTAACCAGTAGTATTTATTGTTAATTGATGCAGGGAGGTATGAAGTACCAAAACTGACAAAGACTAAACAAACTGTTTTAGCTGGGAAGGGAAATGTGTCCCAAAAAAATTGATATTGACAAATTCTAACTCATGCACGGAGTAGCAAAAACTGGAGCACAATTTTTGAGTCAAAATGTGTACTAAATTCTATGAATTTCAAAGTGGTCAAGTATCAAGGTATGACGTTATTATGACACAAGAGCTTAGGGAAATAATTTAATCTATTTTCTCTCAGTTTTAAATCCTCATATCTTGATTTCCCTTAGAAATTGACTACATGTGCTCCATATACTAGTCTCTACTCTAGAGTAGTGATGATCACAAATATTTGATTTTTATGGCCTTTATGAAGATATTTATCTTGAAAGTTAATAATAAAATTTGTTCTATTTGGACTTTGGAAAATAGCAGTTTTATTCAAAAAAGTTTTCCTCTCCAGAGAAGGTTACATGTCCTTGTGCCAAGGTATACTTCTTCCACTCTGCAACCTAAAGATAAATGCATAAATACAAATATATTTAAAAAAGAATATCTTGGGTTGTTTTGTTTTGATATTCATAATACAAAGAAAAAAAATTTTTTAATTTGTCACATTGGTTATGCAAATGACCAACTACCCCTAGTAGAAAACAGATTAAACCAGAATTATATATACACAAATTTTAGACAATCAGTTACACAGAAATAAAAAAGTAACCTCTAGAATTTATGATAACAATATATAATAAACATCTGCACTTAGGTGCCTTGTTAAATAATCAGTATATATGTACTGTCATATCCAGATTGCTGGCCTCTCTAACCATGTCACTTACAAGTTCCTGATGACTTTTTCTGCTTACAGCACAATGCCCTTGAGCTTCACTCTTTGAAATGGACCTCGTATACTCCATATCCCTCCTTCACCTATTTCCATTTCAACACCTAGCATTTTTCCCTGAAGGCAGTATGAAACTTGGCGGTAATTAGTTGCTAAAAGTAATATGTGGTGGCAGCAAAAAGTCATTAGCTGGAACAAATTTGGCTGGAGATCAGCAATGTTGCTTATAGCCCATACTTTGGTAATGACTTGGATTGTGTTAAGAATGAGAAGAGCCAAAAGTCTTCAGTTGGAGTGGTCCTATAAACAAAAGTCAGGGAGATGTGATTGATACCAAGTACCCTTCCCACTCTAACCCCATACCTATTTAGAAAGACCATTGTTCAATCTTGTGTAGCCTGAGGCTACAGGCAGAAGGTTAGATTTAATAAGGAGCCCACTTCTAATTGGTTGCTAATTCACTCTTTATAAAACAAAATAATGTCATGAAAAATTCTAGGCAGGAGGGCAAGAAATCTAGACCCAGCCACAACCATTTCAAGGCCACAGTCTTTTATTGAGTGTGACCATATACAAATACACATGTGCAGGAAAACCACCTACACTAAGTCATCACCTTTGACCTGAAGGAACTTACAACTTATTATTAAAAACTGATATAGTTTTTGTTAATCTTTCAGTGCCTGTTTCCAACTTGAAAAATGGAAATACTGTATCTACCTCCACTCACTTCACAAATAACTTGTGATGCTTATCAAGCTCACAAATGAGAAAAGAAAAGTTCTGGTTCAGAGAGATCATACCTAGCAACAAAATGTCAGTCAATAATAATATTTTAGTCCAAATATTTTGTCCTCAAATGTTGCCAGACTACAACTAAAATAAATGGGTCATTGATTGGTGCTTAGCATTTTCTTTTTTTACAAGTGATTATTTTGGTGATTTCCCAGCACTGGGAGAAAATACCCAGCACCCATTTCTTCTTAAATAAAGAAAGGTTTAATTTATCTTACAATTTTGAGGAATTCAGTCCTTGAATGGCTAGCTCCAAGTGAGAAATGGCCTGTCAAAAGACCATGGGGGAAAAAAGCTGCACACATCATTGCAGTTGGAAGGAGAGAGAAGGGAAGAACTGAGGACAAGAATACACTATTCTAAGTCACACCCCTCATTGACCCTTCTCATGACCAGATCCTACCTCTGAGCACATTAAGACTTTGGGGGAATCACTTGCACTTATTGCAATAATTTTTCCATGAAAACTTATTAGACATTCATTATGCATCTGCATAGTAAAGGGAGATCAAAAAAGAATAATACGAAAGCCATAGTGAAAAATCCTTTACTAAAAAACTAAGCTCATTCTAGAATACTTATAAATAGTCATCAAGGTAGATTATTTAGGAAATAAATATTACAGAATCAAAATAAAGTTTGGAGAAAATTAGGTGGGAAGATTAGAAAAGCACAGAAAAGAATGCACTGAGATGGCAACTTTTTCTGCTCATAATTTTCCTTAAAACTTTATCAAGAAATAGTTTAACTGCCCACCTCTTCAGCTGAGAGCTCCAGAGGAGCTAAACCAGGTGGGCGCCAACACAACAGTGTCTGCCCCCACCCACCACAAACAAGAGAAAGAGGGTCTCTCTGAAGCTCCTAGATGAAACCCACCAGAAAAGTGAAGAAAATCGATGATACAGGCACACCACGCCACCATAGCTGGTTAGTAGGAGGGACCAGCACCTCCCGTTGGGCCAAAAGAGAAAATATGCCAGGCAAGGCAAGAAATTGAAGTGAGAGAGGGAAAAATAAAAAAATAAAATAACCAACAACAGGAAAATAACATGATAATGAAAAGTCAATACATAACACTTGTAATCATCAATGTTAATGGCCTCAATTTGCCAGTCAAAAGAAACAGCCTGGCAAAATGGATTAAGAAGCAAAATCCAACAGTAGAGTGTACGCAAGAAACCCATTAAATCCACAAAGAAATTTATACACTGAAATTAAAGGTATGGACAACAATTCTCCATGTGACAGGAGACTGGAAAAAAGTGGGAGTAGCTATATTATTTGCAGATGGAATAGATTTCAAATCAAAACTAATTAAGAGACACAAAGAAGGCCACTACATCCTTATAAAGGGATCAATACAAGAGAAAGAAATAACAATCGTAAATATATATGCACCTAACTATGCAAAATACTAATGCCCCCAACTATACAAAACAAATATTAATGGATATGAAAAATTAAATAAGCATTGTAGTGGGGGACCTCAATACTCCACTGACATAAATAGAAAGATCATCTAGACAAAAAGTCAACAACAAAATAATAGAACTGACCCAAGTCTTACAGCAAATGAATGTAGATGTCTACAAAGTGTTCCACCCCACAAAATCAGTATATACATTTTTTTTTCAGCTGCACACAGGTTATTCTCCAAAGTAGACCACATACTAGTTCATACAACATGCTTCAGTAAATACAAAGGAATTGAAGTTATCCCCTGTATATTATCAGACAACAGTGCAATTAAACTAGAGATAAATAGCCTAAGAAACCGCAAGAACTTCACAAACACATGTAATTAAATAACATCCTCTGGGTCACAGAGGAAATTAAGAAATGTCTATAGATAAATGATAATGCCAGTGCAACATACAGGAATATATGGGACACAATGAAAGCAGTTCTATGAGGGAAATTCATAGCAGTAAATCCCCATACTAGGAAAACAGAGGAAGATCAAATAAACAACCCAGTGAATGCTTAACCTTAATTTTCTAGAAAAAGAAGAGCAAAACAAACCAAAGCTTATACAAAGGAAGAAACTGTATATATCAGAGCAAAAATTAATGCAATGAAGACTAAGAGAAAAATATAAAAGATCGACGAATTGAAGATTTGGTTTCTTCAAAAAGTAAATACAATCCATAAACCCTTAGCCAACCTTTTCAAAAAAAGGAAAGAAAAGGCTCAGATTCATGCAATTAGGAATGAAAAAGGTGAAGTCACAAAAGATCCAGCAGAAATCCAGAGGATCATCACTACCTACTTCAAGAATCTTACTCTAATAAAATGGAAAATATAGAGGAAATAAACAGATTCCTAGGTACACATGAATTACCAAAGTTGAACAAAGAATATATAAAAAGTCTAAACACCCCAATAACACTTAATGAAATTGAAAATGTAATTAAAACATTACAAACAAAGAAAAGCCCAAGTCCTTATGTCTTCACTGCTGAACTCCACAAGACATTTAGAGAAGAGCTATCATCACTACTGTTTAAAGTTTTTAATGAAGTTGAAATGGAAGCAATACTCCAAAATTCATTCCTGGAAGCAAGTATTACTTTGATTTCAAAACCAGGGAAAGACCCATCCAAAAAAGAGAAATACAAGCCAATCTCCTAAATGAACATAGATGCAAAAATGCTCAGTAAGATACTGGCAAACATAATAAAAAAGATCATCAAGAAGATTGTGAGCCATCACTCAAGCACCGGGAA